CCAGTGCTGAACTGAATCAAAGCATAACATTATTTGTCTGTTGATATGAAACACATGTATCCTAACTGCCACCTGGGACTAGGAAGTGTGATAATATTTGGTTTAGTCACTACAGTATGCTGCTAATTGACAACAATAGACCCATTTCCCGAGGTACCCAGCCTAGGCTTCCTTAGAACACCCAGGCACTGATTTTGAGCTTCTTATCATTTCTGATGCTATCCTTCAGAAACTGCCTTCCACCTGGGAACACTTGGCTGCTCTATGACTTTAATTTCTCATTAGAACAAAGATAACATCCATGGTTTCTTTTTAGTGCTACAATTCCATAATTCTTGTTCCACTAATTCAGATCAGAAGCTGATATAATAAACCTGCTATTTATTAAATTAAATATAAGGTTACTCTCATTTCTGAATTACTGAAACCATATCCAACAAAAGAGAGTCACTATAAAAGGAGTATGTTTCAAACCAAGGGTTTATTGAAAACATTTTTAATATGCTCCTGCCATTTGTCTCTACCATTAATTCTTACAACATTTGTGATACATCCTATATGGTTTGCTTATTACAGAAGAGTAACATATTTATTATTGGGTAATTTACATTTATGCTGTGTCTTATTTCATATATGCTTTATGCCTGAAATTAAAAATATTTTTAAAAATGAATTTAGACTTTTATTAAATTATCTTTGGTCTTCTTCCATTTTTCCAGAGTTGTGTGAATTTGCATTCTTAAAAATTGGTAGCTCGGTGTGGTGGTGCATGCCTCTAATCCCAGAACTTGGGAGGCTGAGGAAGGAAGATCACTGTGAGTTCGAGGCCAGCCTGGGCTACATAGTGAGTTCAAGGGCAGCCTGAACTACACAGTGAGACCCTGTCTCAAAAAAAATTGGTGAAGATATCATAAAGGTAAGTCCACATCTGATGGTGGCATAGATAAAATTCAATTTAAGGAACTTTGAACTTTGAGGTTTCACTGATGGCTAGAATAGAAAGTCTAAACAGACAAATCTATACAATCCACAAATGCTCATTCAGTAAAGAAATGAATTTCTCTTAATGTTCTCCAGCAAGACCAAATCACAGTTTGAAATTTTAATATAGCATCTTTAACAGTAAAATTATTACTTGTAAATTTCTAGATTAGTCTTCAAACTTTGCAAAATATTACTAGAATAGAAATACATTTGTCTTCTAGGAAGTGAAGAAAGTGAAGGAAGGGAAGGAAAGGAAGGAAGGAAAAAGGAAGGAAGGAAGGAAAGGGAGAAAAGGATGGAAAAGCAATGTGACCATATCATAATATGAATTTAAAGTTTGTCATCATTCCAGCCCTACTCTTGTATCCAGCATGGTTAAGAAATAATGTAATTATACCAATCAATGTGCATTTCTTTGAAGTTCTTAATTACTAAATGTTTTGGTTACTTTTCTCTCTTTGCTGAGACAATGTACCCAACGCCCAAAATTAAGGAAGGAAAAGTTTATTTAGCTCACAGTTTGTGGAGGTTTCATAGTCAGCTGGCTCCAAGGCAGAGTGGCACATGGCACAGGGCAACATTTCATGGCAGTGGAAGACAGCAAAATCAGTGAGAGCAAAAGGGGGGAAGCAAGCCTACCCCCCACCACACATCAGCCATCTGTCCACACCCCCCTACTCCTCAAGTGGAGGCTCTCCACAAAGCAAAGACCTGAACCACCCAGCCAACCTCACAAACTTCTCAAATTGACACAATGAACAACATCCCAGAGAGGCAAGAGCATGTCCCTCCAACCCCAGTATGCAAAACCACCAAACCACCCAGTCAAGCCTCCAGACTCCTCAAATTGGCACAACGTACCAACCACAACACTAAAGAAACATTTAGCAATGGATAATAAAGCATCATGTGCCAGGGGACCAAATGCTTTCAGTCTAGGACTTCTCCCTGATCTGGTCATTTTCCTGTTGCAAGTGAAGTTTTGACTGCTTAGAGCAGCTATAGACCAGTAATATTCTGACCACCTGGAGCCAAAGTTGGAACATCTTCTCTCAGCTTATCAGATGCAGAATCTGGACAAATTCCTAGATACTGAGTTCATTTGGGATTTTTGATCCCATTTGGAAGAAGCCTAAGGGATTCCCAATAAGTGATAAATAACACTTAGAGTGAAATTACTGCCTGTAAAGTGAGGTTACCACTCTCATTTTAAAGATGTGAAAACTGAAACACAGAGAAAATAAGCAGCTAATCCAAAGTCATAAGTCTTAAACTTGTTAGGTAACTGGTAGAATCAGGACTTGAGCTAAAACTCTGAGGTTCTACAAGCTTATTAATAACTCTGCTCTCCCCACTTCTCCCCGCTCCCTTTCCTCCCTTTCCCTTTTCCTCCTCCCCCTCTTCCTCTCCTTCCTTTATAGAAAAGAAAGCTTCCTGGCACAAGAGTGGAGCATCCTGCTTCGCATCCAAAAGTTGCCCCAGACCAGCAAGTGTTAAGACAGCAATGCTAACTGTAGGGATCTGATCAGCCTAGATTGGAATCAGTTGGTCTCAAGAGAGTGACAAGGCTAAACTGCTCGAGACCATCATCCATTCAGTTCCTATATAACCATCCATTCAAAAAAGAACCAAGAGGTTTTCTTACGTCCTAGGCCAGTGTGTATCAAACCAAAACATGCATAAGTCTTTCTTGGGAATTATGTAAAAGTATAGAGCATGATTTTCCGGGTAAAAATAAGGTCCTGAGAGTGTACATTTCTAAACACACTAAAGATACTATATACACTAGTAGTGGTATTCTAGAAAGAGTTGTGAACTCACAGGTAGGAAACCTGAGACTCAGTTTCAACTGTAAATTGCCATTGTAACACTGAACAAATTACCAGGCTCTTCTGCCTCTTTACCTTTGAGGTGGCAAAAGGCAGGGTTTGTCCAACTGAGGCCCTTTCCAGTATTTTAAGCAAAAGATCTTGTAGAAGATAGAATAGTGGGAACATTATTCTAGATGTTTATGTTCTGCCTCCTGGAATCTGTAAATATACTTTCTCATATATCAGAGGGGATTTGACACAAGTCTCTAAAAACTGGAAATTCCCTTTCTGAGGTGAGAAGGTCATAGGAAAATGGAGCAAGGCCAAAGTAAAGAAGAGGGGCACAAGTCAAGGGGTGCTGTGGCCTCTAGAAAGTGAACAAAAGCAAGGAAGTAGATTCTTCTGCACAGGCTTCAGAAAGGTGTGCAACTTTGCTGACCCTTTCATAGTAGCTCAGTGACACCCAGCCAGGCTTCTGACCTGTAGAGTATTAAGACAGAAAGTTTATGTTGTTTAAACCACTCAAGTTTTGGTCATTCGTGCTGATAGCAATAAAAATCTAATATAGAGCATTAAGCCTGAGTTAAAAGTGCTGATAACTCATAGAATAAACTGATTTTGATTATTGTGACATCAAGATAAGAAATACTCTGTATTCAAGTGTGGAGAAGAACATTCTCTAGTTATTCTTTCGATGTATTGCCTCAGGCCTGACCAAGCCATGATTGTTGGATTCTGGAGGAAGTCTAGCAAAAGCTTTGAAAGCCCCTGGTCAACACTAAATGCTTTGCTGAGATATGCCCGAAGGAATGATAACATGATGGTTAATTAGTCAAGTCTTAATTATTGTCCTTGCTAAATCAGTTGAGATCCTCCAATTTGTACTGCTGCTTCTTTTGTTCTTTCTGAATGAAGAGTTACTGAAAGGAGTAATAGGGGCTTCAGTCCTAGAGGCTGCTAGCCCCCTGATCCCAGAATTTTGCCTTTCTTGTATTTCTTTTTCCTCTTACCTTTCTATTCATCTGCGGGTACCTCATTCTCAGGACCTGTTCACCCTGAACAGAAATGGATTATTAATCCGACATTCAAGTTTCTGTTTGAGTTCCAAGAAAAATAATTATTGGTAACAATCTTACACCCATTAAGAATCCAAATGCATTCTCAATTGCATTATTTTATACATTCATATACTAAAATATTTATGAATATTAATATAAAATATACAGTTCTCAGTAATAGATAAGTATTGGTTGAATAAGCAAATCAATTAGAATCACACTGTAATAAAGGTAGAGAATGGTAAAATAATAATGATTATATGTTATTTGTTGGGTACTTTATGTCAGGAACTTGGCTCAGAATAGACATCATCAAAGTTTTCCTAAATAATCATGGATATGTTCACCGTGTTACATATGTGAGTGACATAACTCAAAGAGCAAGTTTTGCACTTAGCTAATAAAGTAGCTGGAATTTAAAACTATGTTTATATGGCTCTCAAACCTCTAATCACTTTGTTGTTTTACTTCTACTATCTAGCCAAAACCGAACCAAAGCAAACAATACAAAACAACAACCACCACCAACCAACCAACCAATGAACTAATCAACCTCAGTACTTGAGGAGTTCACAGTATAGCAGGGAAGGTAAAAGAGGTAAAAAGACAAAATGGCAAGTGCCAAAGCAGAGGTGTGTGCAAAGTACCTGGATAGGATAGTCACAGATGAATTGGAGGGAGAAGGAGGATCACCCAAGAAAAGAGAAAAGGCATTACAAAGAAAAGGAACACAGTTTCAGCAAATATTGCAAGTAAATAAATCTCCCCAAACTGTTTGGCATAAAATCACAATGCAAAAATTTGTATAGGTTTTGTATGAATTCTCGTTGCCAGGATTTCAGAAAAACACGACTTGTCCCTGCTGCATGGTGTCTCAAAGATGCATGGTGATGTCTGCCAGGGGCCATAGCCATTTTCAGGCATATTTACTCTGCGTCTGGAGGCAGAGGCTGGCCTTCAACTGAGACTTCAACTGAGCTGTCAGCTGGAAGACCTGTATGTAGCCACTCAAGCTCTCTTACAATGTTGGCTTCAAAGAGCAAGTATCCCAAGCAAACACGTGTAGGCTGCATTACCTTTTATGAATTCATTATGAAGTCACAAGGTATCGTTTTATGCAGTCACCAGCTGGTTTGGTTTCACATAAGACACTCCCCCTGCCCTGTGAACATAGCAAAGACACATGGTAAGGAGAACATATGAGATGGAAGACGTTGTTGCTGCCATGATTAGAACCCTGAACACGTGTATGCCCAGGTGAAAGAGTGGAGCTGAATTTAGGTGGTTGTTGGGGTTCACAATTGCTATCAGGAGAGTTACCCCATGAGAAAGCCTCAGCTTATGTCTGGCTGGTTTATAGGTGAGAAAATAAAATGTATTCCATATTTTCTTTTCCTCCCCAGTACAGTGTCTGAGTAAATATCTAGTATCTCCTCCATTTAGAGACAAAGCCCAGGTTTTGTGGATTTATGTGGCCAAAGGATATGAAGACCTTACCCTGATCCTGCATGCACAACATAGTCTGCGGCAGAAGGGGGATGTGACCATTAAACAGGGTGAGCTGTTAACCTTAAGCTCCCTTCTAAATGTGCCTGAGCACAACAGTGGCAAAGTCTGGGCAGCTGAGATGGGTCCAGGGAGAGGAGTGGGAAAGCTGAAAAGAGCATGATGGGACTGTCAGGCTGCTCAGGAGTCATGTGATGGCTGTGGTTCCTCCATCTATGGTATTTAGTGTCCAACCAGGCCCAGGAGGATTGTCATGGCAACTTGCCCATCTGCACCGCTGCGCTGAGACAGGATTCCCTTAGTAACCAAGGAGCCCAGGAGATGATGCTTAAAATAATCCTTTATGCCCAGGCAGAAATGCCTTTGGAGTTTTATTAACCGTGAAGCACCACGGAGCATGGCTTTCACTCCTGCTTTATTTCAAAGTGGAACAGAATGGCTTTTTAAAGCAGGAATTTCTGACCAAGTGCTAAATGCTGTCTTCACTCCACAAAGCACACGTCTTACTGAAGCCACGATTGTACTCAGAATTGTACCTGAGTTTCTGAAATTTGCTGCTGGTCACTATTATATAAATTACCTTCAAATAGACCAGATGAATTTTAGCTGAAATCACTGGGCTCCATCTAATCGCTTTCCTATTTCCTATTGAAGTTCCAGCAGTCTCTCAGTAGCGAAAATAGTAATACCTGACAAGAGTTTAACACTTGGGCCATTTAGCCTGGCAATTCCTTGCATCTGATGGCCCTTCCTGCTCAAAACTCCTCTCCAGTTTTTCCTTATCTGCCAGGCCTGCCTGGCCTGCTTGCCCCTTGCATGAGAATTCCCTCATAGTCAGTTACCCTGGCTGCTAATTCTTCTCCTCTCCTAGCGCTTATCACGTTTGTATTCTTGCATGGCATCAGCTTTTACTGTAATACTGAGAAGATGAGTTTATAAGCCAGGCCTGCAGTGAGGCTGGAAGGTCTTCAAAGGCTGTCTCACATGGTTACATTGTGCCTCAGCTCTCCCAAGAATCTCACACTCTAAGAGTTCCAGAAACACTTGGAAATCTTAGTGTGATGGCTACGCAACTTCAAGAATATACTAAAAACAGAACTATGTGTGTTGAAAGGATGATTTTAATGATATGTGAATTATAAACCCACAATAAAAAACTAGAAATGTGTGGAAATCAGATGTGAAATGTTCAACAAGTAGGCAGGATTAAGAATCTAGGCAGCCACAGAGTCATGGTTTGAACCTGAGTTCCCAAATGCCTCACAAAGAAGAATTCCTGTTTTGCCCATTGACGTGCCCCTCCTTCACTAGCATTGGGAGGAGAGGACTGGATAGCCACACAATAGCTTTTGGAAATGAGCAAGTCCACTTGCAGACTTTGTTTCTGCCACTTTTTCTGTGTGACCACTTAGTTCTTCTTAGCTTCCTCATCTATAAAACATAATTTTTAAAAACATCCTTCATGAACTAACAGTGCAGATGAAATGATGCATATAAAATGCTTAATGCAGTATACACACAGTAAGAACTAAAAATAGGCTGATTGCCATTATCAATATTTATATTCATTTTCTGTTCAATATTATGATAATTGCAAAAAAATCTTCATCCTTTTCTAACTTTTTTTATTCTTTTGGCTCCAGTAATTTCCTTTTCTCTGCTCTTCCTCCTCTTCCTTTTCCTTGTCCTCCTCCTCCTTGTCCTCTTCCTCCTCCTCCTCCTCCTCTCTCTCTCTCTTTCTATCTCTTTTTGAGGTATGGGGAAGTGAGCTCAGGGCCTTTGTACTGAGTAATTTCATTGTGATGCAATTATGTAAGATTCCTAACAAGTTATTGGGAGATTCCTTTGTTATTCCTTTTCCTCTAGTGTTTCTTTTCTCTTTTTTTTATCACCACTTTTGCTGACTTCTTTGAATACTATGGAAATATGATGCTAAGGTTTAGACTGAGACTGTCCCCTCAGAATCTCATGTATTCAGAGATGGGAGTATTGAAAGGTAGGCAATAAATGTTAAGAGGTGAGTCTGGTGAGAAGCAGGTCACTGTGGTGAGACCTAGAAGGGAGTATCTTCATCTCTTTCTGCCCTTCTCCCCCACCCCTTCTCTCCTTCTCCCTCCCACCCTGCCCACATTCTATCTGCCATGAAGTAAGCAGCTTTTTCTTTGTGATGCCCCCTTGTCATGCCATTCTACTTTGGAGCTTACCAACTTGGGACTGAACTGACCTCAAGCCAGATAAACTTTGTCTTTACGTTGTGGGTGTCAGATATTTTGTCTCAGCGATGAGAAAAGTGACCAAGACATTAATGTATGCAACATAAATGTTTTCATTGTTTATATTAACACCTTATAATAATGTTTATATTAAGATTATATATGTATATATAATATAATAATGTTTATATTAAGACCTTACCATAAGCCCCAGCAACAACATCAAGAAGCTTTTCCGGACAAGTTGCAGTACCTAAGCCGCACTCTCCTTGCTTTTTTATGTCTCTTTCCTATCCCTTGGAATTCTCAACCTCAGGTTGAGTAGCATTGCAAAAAATGCCAGAGGTGAGTCTGCAAAGTTTGCCTTAAAAGAAAATGGGTTCCATTAACTGGGCCCATCATTATGGAAACAGTTATTTGATTGAGAAAAAACATGCTCCCTGGTAGAGAAACCAGTGTTATGTTGTAAAAATGGTAACAGGTGTAACTAAAATGTACTCATAATTTTTCAGCCATTTGTGAAGTTTCTGGTCTTATGGTAAATGCTTTGGAAATATTATTTCACTTAGCCTCCACATCAGTCTGTGAAGAAATTCTGCATTTAGGGAGGTTAAATAAATTGTCTAAGACCTGAGGTCTAGTAGATATTCCTAGTAAAACCAGATACCTATTACAACTTGGGTTAGAATCAAAGTCCTCTAATTCTCGATTCCACTTTTTTCCTACTTCATGTGATGCTCAGACACTGAATTTTCTGAAAGTCACAAAAATATCTTCTTGCTTAGCTGGGTTTCATGATACACACTTGTAATCCCAACACTGTGGGAGGTCAAAGCAGGATGATCATAGTTTGAGCTGAGCCTGGGTGATTAGCAATTTAATGAGACCCCGTCTCAAAATAAAATTAAAAAAACAAGTTATAAAGGGATGGGGATCTGGCTTATTATGAAAGCCTTAGGTTCAGTCCCCAATACTTAAAAAATTTTTTTTCTTAAGTTATGGCAAACAGGAAGGGGGTAAATTATTTTTAAAATGAAATATCTACTAGATATGAAGTGCCTAAATGTAAAATGCCATTATGAGTTGGCAAGTCCTTCTGTAGAGGGAAGCAACAGAAGAAAGTGAGTATATTAGGCTTTGACTCTTAGGCTGACAGACTTTATCCCCTAAGACAGTCATTTTCTCTGTGAGCACAGGGAAGGTACCAACACTGATCACTTGGGAAGTTTGACACAGCAGGAAGATGCTGGTCTTGATTAGCATATTTTCTTGGATTCTAAAGAATAACAGTAGCCTTTTTTTGAGAAAGAAAAGGACAAGAAGACATTTTCTCTCAAACTTCTCTCATTGCCTACTTTTTCAAACTTGTAAGAAATTTAGAGAACACCTCAATCATTATGTTTTTTCTACTTACAATAATATGAGATTTGATTTTAATGTCTCCATTTTCATGTATATAAACATAAAATAACTTAGTTCAAGTCCTGAAATAAATGTAGTGGACCACCATAATATTTTTTTAAAACAATATATTTATTGAGAGAAAGAAACCTTCTGTCCAAGAGAGTGACAGAAGGGAACCCAATGGGTTGCCAAGGAACCTGCCTTTTCTAGAGATTTTTATAGAGCAAAACCACAAGGTGAAGTGAGTCCAAGGCGGGAAACACAGGAACTCACTAGGTGGGCATGAGATGGGACAAAACCATGATCACCCAATAAGATTACAAGTATAATTGTTCAGGTAAAATTGATTAAATTGAGATCAAATGGGGAAGCACATACATAGCAAGTAGACTGAATACGAACAGGTGGGTCATCATAATTTAATGGACACCAAGTGAAATATTATGGGATAGTCAACAGACAATACTAGGCATAAATATCTTAGGCTTCCTAAAGATGAAGGATAGGAGGACACTATAATGACCTGTCCCTTTGCCCTTTCCCCGCAGTAGCAACTGGAATGACTGAATCCAAGTAAATACTCAAACACATTCTATGTTCCAAGTTCTACGCACTGTTTCTACACGCTACCTGCTGTAAGTATGCTAAATCTTATGGAAAAGTCAATGAACCTGTTCTCCAAGGTTCTAGGGCAGAAGATTTCTAATAAAATTTTAATAAGTAATATTATCATATAATTTAGATATGTCCCATTCCTAAGAGGGTTCAGAGACTAGGAAGGACACCAAGGGCAATGGGTTTGCTTTGTGGCTGGTGGAGGTGGAGGAGGAATGGCAACACCTTCCTGTACCCCAGCTCCCCACAACTTCTCTCTGCCCGGGACCAAGCTATATTAGTCAGAAATCCTTGGTTGCAAGCAACAAAGGTCTAATTTCAACTAGATTATGCAACAAGAAAATTTAGGAGTTGTTGTTGCTGCCAATTTCAGTAGTAGATACAGCTTTAGGCAAATCTGGATCCAAAGCTGACTGAAGTAATCAGCTGCTACCATACTCTTTTTTTCCTTTTTATCTTTTAGCTCTGCTTTCATCTGTTTTGGCCTCATTCTCAGGAGGTAGCAGGATGGCATCTTGCATATGTGGATTTATGTCCTCACAGTGTAATATTCCAAAAGGAGTTATCTTCTCTTGGATGTCCCAGACAGAGTGGTGGTTTTGGATTATTTTGCCTGGTTCAGGTCACACTCTTACTACTGAACCACTCACTGTGGTAAGGCTCATCCAATACAATAAAAGTTTTGCGTTTCCTCTCCTTTATTTGACTTACTGAGTTTTTGTCAGTTATGCTTGTTGTATAAATGATCCCTCAAAGCTAAGTGTGTTGATGGCTTTGTTGAGGCTGCAGTTGACAAGTCCCTTTTTTTCCCTCCCAGTACTTGGGATTGAACCCAGGTCTTCACACTCAGCTACATCCCCAGTCATTTTATTCTCTTTATTTTGAAACAAGGTCTCACTAAGTTACTAAATTGTCCAAATGGGGCTTAAATGTTCAACCCTTCTACTTTAACCTCCCAGAATGCTGGGATCATGGGTGTGCAGCTCTCTCCCACTTTAGCTGATGGGTTTTGAAGTGACTGAACCATGACAGCTATAACTTCATCCATAGATGATCGTAATTTGATGACAGTTTGGGATGGTGTGGAAACAGGAAGTGGGGCCTATGTGAAGGAGTAGGTCATGGGGATGTGACCTTGGGGACCATATCTGGCCCCTTCCTTTTTGGCTTTGCCATGAGGTGAGCAGCTCTGCTCTGCCACAGCCTTCTGCGATGATATGCTGCCTCACCACAGCATGGAACCAGCTACCCATGGACTGAAAACTTTGAAGCTGTGAGCCAAAATAAACTTTTCTTCCTTTAAATTGTGATTAGCAGCTATTTTGTCAGTGATGAAAAGCTAACACCAGGTTTTTGTCTTCTAGGCAAAAATCCAATTTTGCTATAAATAATCACATATAGGCCTGTTGCTGTATGCAATTCATTCACTGAAACACTGTAGAGACATTATCTTGTTAAGCCCTCACAAGAACTCTGAGAGGTGGGTGGTATTATTTCAATTTTACAGATGAGGAATTTGAAGGTCAGAGAAGTTAACCAAATTTACATTGTCTGGGGAAATTTTTTCTGCCTCACACAAAAATTCTTGCTTGTAACCATAGTATTTTTGTCTTCTTTTGGAAAGTCAGACTGACTTATTATCCATTCTTATTAGAGTGGATAAATGCACTTCCTAGGATGAACTGAGATCTGCGGAATGGCAGCTTAGCTAAGCTCATTTTTATCTGAAGATGTTGAGCAAAGACACAGACAGAACCTGATGGCAATTTCTGGGCTGTGGTTATATTTAATGACATTTCTAGTCACTTTCAATTCATTTGCTTCATATTAAACTCTAAATGAATTAGTTTAGATTATGAAATTATTTCCTCAGCCTAATTCAGTTCCTGTGGGTAGCACATTTTTAATATTCCACATTCCAGCCGACCTAGGTTTGGCATTTGGTGTGCTGATTGCTCTCCATGGTGCAAGGGTTGCAATCCCACTGGATCTGAGTGGTGCCAAGGATTTAGGATTGTGTCACTAATAGAGCAGGAAGTCCTTCTGAGTGTTTTTATGTTACTTGGAGAAATCAGTCAGTATGCAAAAGGAAAGAAAAGAGTTCCCGTTTTAAATATAGCAAACCCTTTAATCACCACTGAAAGAAATCCGTTTCTTTGAAATCTTATACTGGATTGGGGTGGGAGCAGAATGGAGGATATGTTACCTGTACATCTGAGAATGATCTTTGCAAAATTCAGTTCTGCTTTCAATTTAGTAAAAGTCACAGCCAATGAATGTGTGTGCTATATATAAATATATATTTAAAAGAAGAGGACCCCATACTAGAAGAAACTATCATATTTCAAAATCTTTTCTCCCCACTCATAAATTCCTGGGCAAGACTTGAGGAAATATTTCAGAGCTTGAAGCTGTATTTCTCTTTGTTCCACCAACAGACCTAGAGTTTTAGGATCCCACTTTGTTCTGAGGGGTCAGACAGATAAAAGTCAAGTGGCAGCCTGAAATTGCTCTGTGAATTCACACTGGGGCTTTATGATTTAAAAACACTGTAAGTGTAGTAAAATAGGATATGCATAGAGAACCTCAGTGTTTTGGGTTGAGTTTCTGAATTATGTTATCCATTCTAAAGAACCAAAAAGGCCAGGCCCCAAGCACAGTTATAAATTCCAACTTTTTTTGGTAATAGTGCATAATTGCAAATGGCAGAAGAACCTTTAAACTCACAGTATGAAAAAGTCTCAAATGTATGTTGACACCGGAGAAGAAAGAAGAATGCAGTTGTGGAAATGTATGTTACTGGAAAATGTGGAACTTTTGTAAATGTTTAATGAAATGTTTGTTTTTCTCCTAGGAATTACTAAATTAATGGTGTATTTTATAGCTCATGACTTCTTAGAGCTAACATAGCACCCAATTTTAAGTTTATCTCTTTTGCATCATAATTTCCTTTGTCCACTCTTAAGTTATCAGGAAAGCCTTGCTAAATACTACTCTTTGTATTGGTTATATTTTGGGAGAATTAATCAGGCAGACTCTGCAAGCATGATGAGTGGTGAAATATGATTTAAAGAGAAATGCATCCACCCAGGATTGTGTTAATGAGATACAAATGCAGGAAGTGATTAGCAGAACCTGTAGACATTTACTGAAAGAGGTGAAGATAGGTTTGGGAGGGGAACCAGATGAGTGACTAGATTATCTGCTAATCTAATAAACTGAAATGTGATAAATTTTATTGTGTTTGGGCTTTTAATTGAGGTGAAAGTCACATACCCTAACACACATAACATAAAATTAGCCATTTTAAAGTGAGGAATTTGGTGGCACATAACCATCTCTGTCTAGTTCCAAAACATTTTCATCACCTTTTTGGTATTTGTAACGAAGGGCAGGAGAAATGTGTATTATATAAACCTTAGAGAATGCTCACATTCTCTTGTATTATAACTTTGTTGTACTTAGAAGTATTTGCCTGGGAATCTCGGTGCTAAACTTACACTTCCTGGTGCAAGACTTACTAGTGCAGCTGGGGATTTAGCTCAGTGGCACAGTGCCTGCCTGGCAAGCACAAGGTCGTGAGTTCAATTCCTGGTACCAGAAAAACAAACAAACAAACAAGACTTACTAGTGCAGCAGCATTTAATTTGTGCTGAGCAGCTTGATTTTTTTTTAGAAGGCTGCAGTGAGGTTACATGGTACAACTGGCTCTTCTCCCACCAGAAGCACAGCTCCTCTTACTGTCTGGTCTTGTATGCTCTGATCATGTGTGCAGCACCAGTAGTAGGACCTGGATATGAAAATGAGACAGGCTTTGCCCTCTGGTGGAAATGTACTTTCCAGTTGTGAGAAAGGTTCTACCAGAGAATGTGCAGATGAGAGGGGAGGTCATAGAAGGAATTCCCAGCCAAGTCTGGGGGAGGGAGAAGAGATTCAGGAGGGCCCCTGAGAGGAACTGATGCCTGAGATCTTAAAATAGGTATAAGCAAGCAGGGGAAGAGGTATGAGGAAACTTCAACAGATTCCATGTTGAGAAGTTGTTAGGTGGGGTGGCTATAGGTGGGCAGAAAAAGTGGGTAAGGGTCAGATGATGAGTCAGTTGCATGTTGTTTTCAAAGTCACATTTAAGAGTTGGGATTTCATTCTGCAGTTGGTGGGGAGACACCAAAGGATTTTAAGCACAGCAGGGAGATGCTCAGATTTACTTCATAATTACCATGTTGGCAGCAGTGTGGAAGGCAGGTTGGATGAAGGTAACATAGATAATAGGAAGCAATTAGGAGACTCACTCATTTTCCAGGCAAGATGATGATTAAACTAAGAAACAATGACTATGAAAAGAAGTTAAAAAAAGAAGAAACAGCAACAATAATAATGATAGAAGCAAGTTTCACAGTCTCTGGAACACTTGCCACATGCCAAATAGAACAGGTAGATGTGCAACCAGCTGCTAATATCAGAAGCTGAACTATTCTGAAATTCTCTCAGCTGTAGGGAGAAGTCTTACCTGAAACCATTTCTGTCCTTAAGGCATCTGCCAGCTTTTCTGGAAGGGAATATAAAGGACCCATTTCCTCAAGTGTGGACTTTGAAGGTCCACCCAGCTCCAAAGCTCCCAATAGGGTCACAGTTCCGTTTCCTTCTATTTTCTTAATATCATAATCCTGAGAATACTCTATTAATAATCTACATTAACTCTAATCTTGGTTTTAAACTTTGCTTTTTCAGGGAATTCATTCTGCAGACATTGTTTAGATGCTTGCATACATTCCCTCAAATCTTTACAGTGACCTGTCAAAGTGGGGATTATTCTCCCCATTCAGCATATGGGAAAATTAAAGTTTGGAGATACCACCCCACTCTTAAAGGTAGCAGAGATGGATTTGCTCTGGCTTGGTAGTTCTACTGTACCATGGTATTTCCATTGTACTGTACTCAAAAGAAGGGCATGGAATCTAGAGGTATTTATAATGTAGCATTTTTAAAGGACTGATCTGAATGTCTGTTTCATGTGTTGGGGGTAACATAGGGAAGAATGATAAAAATAGCTGGTAGGCATATGTCTCCTTTTACCATTATTTAATTTTCAATGTTTAAGGACATTTTCATGGGAATATCTTCAAGTAGAAAATGTCTTCAGGGTTAGGACACATAAGGTATGTTTAACAAAATTCCAAGTCCTAGAATCAGAGGGTAGCTCTGCACTATGAGTGTCTAGAAAGCGGAGACTGCTTTTTCTTTTCTTTGTGCTTTTTCCTTCGTCTCCTTCACCCCAGCACCCATCCTCCCCACACCCCACTCAGGAGTCTAGAGTAGCTTTGGTATTTAGCAAGTACTGGACTGAAACTGGGCAGAATTATAAAACCAGCAAGAATTTTTTTAGCACCACTCCTTGCCCTCTTGTTCATTTTCCTTCTGTATCCAGGGGAAGCCCTTGAACACCCCACATTTATTTTTAGAATCTTCTGGCAATATCTTGCATTTATTTGGGATCAGTCAGAATGGCCCCACAAGTATATTCAAGCTCTGGAACCTATGAATGTGTTCAACTCCATGACACATGAAATTTTGAAGATGCACTTATGTTATAAGTTTTAGGAAAATGAATCTTGAATCATCTGAGTGGTCCAGTCTAATCATGAGGGCCATTAAAAGCAAAGGATTTTTTTTGTCTGAAGTCAGAACAATGCAATGGA